CCCCCCCCCCCCCTCCTCCCCCCTCCTAGCGAAGCTTGTCCTGGAGCGGTCCACGTGAATCACATATACGCGGTCGGGACTACAAAGGGCTGCGCCCAGGCCCACGAGCTCTCCATCGAACTCCTTCCGTATGTGCACCGTGCACTCTTCACACAATGCCTGCCATGATAGGGGAGAAATGGGGATGGGTGCTTGTTGTAGTTAGTCGACCAATACCCACATGCGGCTGCTACTAAAGCACTGCTGTTGTGGCGATGGCAAGTCCTCGTCTGTTGTTTTACTCCCGGGTTCAATAACTGAGTTGTGACGGAGGAGCCGATGCGATCGCTAGGCCTTCATGGGATGGATTTTCGACCCATCCCCAGACAATCAAAGAGGCGACAGAGGAGAGAGAGTGTTCATGGGGGAGAAAGAATATACAGTGACGACCTGCTCATAACTTGATCAGAACCTTGTAAGAATCTGAGCCTCGGATTCTGGAAAAAATAAGGAGTAACAACCAGATGAGAGCTCATCTGATGGATAGCAATAGAATATCGCACAATACCAAACCACCCCCAAATGACAAGGAGCGTGAGGGGTTGGACGTGGAAAGAAGAAACGGATCTGACCCTTGACACAGCTCGACAGCGATCGAAACCTCGACCCGAGGAAGACGTCACTGCAGTAAGTCTTCAGGAGGAGCCCCCTCTAGCTAACCTGTCGTAGACCGTGCGTTGATCAACCGTTGTTTGTACTCTTCAGGCGGGGGTTTTGGTGGTTCCTGCGACAGGATCAATGGGCCGGCTGCCCCGCCAACCACCTGGGGGACTACCGCTTGGGGTTGGCTTGTGATCAGAGCACCGTCAGCTTTTCATTACGCGTCGGATCTGGAACACTGCAGAGTCAAACGCAGTCGTAGGAGCACGAGCTTTGACCGGGCCGATCGATGGTTGTTATGAGTCGGCGGCACGCCGTCAGGGAAACAGGGCGCAGAACCCCAACGTTCATGTCGAAGGATGAGGTTACATAGATGTAGTGTAGTTCGAGACCACATGACGATCGAATTTAGAGGGGGGATGCAATCTCTTTTGTCTGCACCCTCCAGAACAACGATACATGTCTCTTTGGTGCCATCGGAGGTTGTCGTAGCAGTCAAGCGGTAGTTAATGATATTTTCGTGTGAGCGTTCGGCATACGTCTATGTTACAATACATTTTTCTGTCCGGAAAAAATGAGGAAAGTGAGACACGATGCAAAATATTCTCTGCCAAAAACAAGAATTGGGGACACAACAAGAACTCGACTCACATCGTTGCGGGAACGAAATCGCTACGGCAATGAGCTGTTGAGCCTCGCCCAAACTGGGTGCGTCTTACGCCGGGCCTGCACAGCAGCAGCGACGGGAACAGCAGTGACGGGAACCTCTGTCGACAAATGAACTCAAAAACAAGGTCGCCTGCTCTTGTTTTGTAGTAGAGACTCTGGCGCGGAGTATGCCGTACGTACGTAGAGTATCTCAATAGCTTACAGCAGTAGTATCTACGTGTCCGATACAGCAGTAGCAGGTGTCCCGAAATAGTGCCGGTGCCCGCTAACAACGAGCAACGTGCCGGTCACATCTGGGCACGGGTGCCCACTCCTGCACAAAAACCTACCATACGTGTATTCCTGTTGTGAATTCTGAATAGTGCCGGTGTCTGGTATAGTCTAGTGCCGGTCACACCTCGGGGCATATACAACGTAGCTTCGGTACATTGTAGACTATGCATATGCACATATATCGGACACCAATGGAGCAACAACAACCACAACAGCAACAACAACAACGGAGCGTACTGCTGCTGTACATCCGTCTGTAGGTGCGTCTTATTTAGTACGAATATAGTGCGTGCTTCTCGTTGTTGCGCAGATGACATACATTCATGAAGGCAGCGGCCGATTGCCTACAAATACTTTGAACTAGACTACTTACAGACGGCACGCACCTCATGGCTGATCTGAAGTAGATGCCGGAGCCTTTGGCGTCTCCTGGGGTGAGTTTATGCTGTTGCGAGAACGCTCTCGGAGGCTTTACTGTGCTACAACACACAGCCGGGATGCACCTACACAGCCATACAGACGATGCTTCACTGCTGTCTGTGCGTGAAAGCTTCGTTTCTCTGCGGGGCATGCTCGATGACAACCTTCCTATGTGCTGGCTCGCTGCCGTGACGAAGAATGCTGGTGCTGCTGCTGCTGCTGATGCTGCTTCCACCCTCGTCCCTGGCCCTCCTCGTCCTTCGTAAACAACACGCCCTTTGAGCTGTGCCGTCGTATGGGCTTCCTCCAAAGAGCCGCAGAATCGGCAACGGGCATGGCAGCGTCGATTTGGCGCGTCCTTGGTTCACACGTAGGCGTGGTGAGTACGTGTGTGCGTCAATCAGGAAGAAGGACGAGGAGGGAGAGTAACACTCTGGAGCAAGGCATGCTTCGATTCGGGAGGAGAGGAAGAGCAGTTCCTAATCGATTTGGGGTGGGAAATCTGTGCTCTTGATTACAGCGCTCAGCGCTGCGCTTTGTAATCAAAGTAGACCAAAAAAGAAGCGAAACGATTATTTTAATGTTTTTGGGGACCAGCGATCTCCGATCGATTCCATCGGAATCAAATCAGTAAAAAAAAGCGAAGGCGGAGATTCTGGCACAACCGAAACAAAAACCGGCTGCTTTGGCCACCACAAGATTCATTTGGAATTGATTCGAAGCTTTTTTTCGTCGAAAACAAGAATATAATCCAAAGCACCAAAATTGCACCGTTTCCTTTCCGACGTTCATCGCTGCGCTCCCGAATCGATGACACCCCAAATTTGTAGCTGTAAGATTAGGGCATCAAGGACGATGTCAAGCATACACTGAAGGTTCTCTTCAAGAGGATCAAGAGTGGGTCCTCGTGCCCACCATTATCATCAACTCAGAGACCCTCTGTGCCCGTGGCGGCGTCGGTGGCGCGCTGACATCGTCACTCTGCCTCGTCCCTTCCCGCCTACTGGCTCTCTGTCCTCGCCGGGCGCGTTCCAAGGGCTCCTCCGACCTAATCATGGCCAGCAGGCTGCAAGGAGCGCAAGACCGTGCTGCTGCTGCTACTGCTGCTTCTGCTTCTGCTGCTTCTGACGGTCTTGGCTCCGACGGTGAGACCAAAAGTCTACTATTTCTCCCCACTTGCTTACGTGCCGAGCCAGATACAGGGTGTTGGAAGTTGCCGTCGCTGCTGTGCTACCTCGTCTATTTTTCATAACGGATATGCAGCTCTCTCTCCGTTACGTCCCTCTACCCCCTCCTCTCCTCCTCCTCCTCCTTACCTACTCCCTCGTTCCTCCTCCTCCTCCTCTTCCTTCTCCTCCTCCTCCTGCCCCTTGTCGTGCGGCACACCGTAAGAACGACAAAATACAGGTGTACGACTGTAAAGCAGTAGTCTACTGCTTTACTGAGTGAGTACTACTGCTGTACATACACTGCTGTAAATACCAAGATTTCACACCGATGTAGACTGCTGTATTGCACTGCAGCTGTCCTCGCTGCTCTGTTTCGTTGCGTGTGTTTCCAACTCTTACAATACCATCTCCTCTTGCAGGGAGTGCTTTGTGCTCTACGTTGGTCGTTCAATAAGCCAACAGACACTACACCTGCAGCGCCGCGGTCTAAAAGTATAAAAGACGACAAAAACGGCAATGATTGCGCTCCTCATCTTTAGCCTACATGTACAGCATAGGAGTATAGTAGCACGTCTACAGCAGTGTACCAGGTTCTTCCAACGAACCTAAGTAAGCACAAGCATTAGAGTGACAATCCAAGCACCCACACTTTCCGGTGTGGTTCGGTGCTTCGTATCCGGGGTACTGCGCTGCTGTACCACCCCAGTGTGAAACGTCGCAAAGGCGACTTTCCAAGCGTGGTCAACATACGACCCGTTCCACCACATAGTCTATCCATGATGATTTGGCCGGTGATGGCCAGCAACAATGAATCGTCGTTATCGCGGATCTCGTTGTACCCGCGTGGAACAGCCGGTTACTAGACTTGCATGACACCGTCCATATATCCGGCTTGCGATGCTATTTGCTGGTTGGTGACCAGGCACCCAAAAACCACAACTGCAAGGACACGAGCGTTGGTGGTTACCTGGCCATCACGAACTTCCTTGCCTCATACGGGAGTTGAGAGCGCAGCCTGCTATTCGATATACTCGTAGCATAGTATGATGGTTGAGATGTTATGTACGTACGTACGAATATTGCAGTGATGAGATGCGGAGGAACAGGAACTTTCTACATATTTTCCTTGGTTGTGAGAGGCTTTTGGTGAGGATTCAGAGAGATTCGTTGTGTGAGAAAGCATGAAGGCGTGACTCGATACCGTGATGGTTTGACGAGCACGAGCACGCCCCCGATTAATACAACACGGCAACACGGATACAACACGTTTCCCAACACGTCTTTACCCATCCACGCCCCGTCATGGGCCACCCGCTCTAAACTCCAAGCACATAGAACTGGGTCACCCGAATTATCGATCACGCTAGCTTATGACACGTCGTCTACGAGATTCGCGTCGAGCTTAGTTTGGAGTATCGCTTTGCGGCGATCAGCAGCTGTCACCGATGTCCAGCGCCGACCAAGAACGAGGCGCCCGTCACGCAGAAGACGAGGACGCCCGCATCAACGAGTTGGTGGAGATGAGGGTACAACAACGACTGGCCGACATAAGACGGCAACAAGACGAGGAGGAGCAGAGGACAGAGAACGTCCGGACCGGAAGCGAGCACGAGGCACGCCACCAGCAACAAGCGGGGCGGCCATCGGCGAACCCGGCCGTAGATGACATCGCCCGCACTCTCGCCGACGCCCTGACCAGCCGCCTGCAGATATCACCACGGGACAGCGGTAGAGTACCCAATACAGGAGGAAGTATTCGCCTGACTGAGGTTAAGCGCCTAGCGCCTTGGGATGGGATTTTTAGGCAAGGGGAAGATGAGCAGGCAAGATTTTTGATTTTTCGATCGAACATGATTGCAATGTTTGCGCAAGAAGGAGTCAGGGAAGTGGTATTGAGTGACCACAGAATTCCAGTCGGGCTAGAAGGGATAGACATGGAGGAATTGCATAGGATGCACTCGCCTGATAGCGTAGAGAAGGCAATTACGGCGTGGAACCTGCTGATCACGTCTGTAACATACATGCCAATCCTTACCCAGATCATCGCTGATGGTAGTCCAAGCGGAGGTTGGAAAATTTTCTTGAACTATTACGAGCCGCGTGCCAGAGCGGAGAAGGAAAGACTGTCATCCCAATACCACGGTCTTGAGATGAAAGTAGGCGAGACCCCCCAAGAATACTTCGGGAGATTTGCTGTTTTGCGCAGTAGGCTAGCCTCGCACGGTGTTACTTTCTCCGACGAAGATGCCAATGCCCACATGGTGTACCACCTTTCCGACGAGTACACGATGGAAAAGAAAATTCTGACTATGTCACCGATTCCCCCCTCGCGCGAAAAAATCGAAAAGGGTGTACGAGATGCCCATGCGGAATTGCTTCGCCGTCGGGAGGAGGAACCAAAGAATGGCGCGGGGCACGCGTTCGTCGCTTCCGGTGGTATCCGGGGCGATGGACGTGTCCAAAATGGGTCGAGTGGAAACGGCGGGGGACAGGACGGAGACGGAGGCGCCCGGAGTCGGAGCAGGAGCAGAGGGAGAGGAAACAAGAAAGCAGGAGAGAGCGGAGCCGACAGCGACCACTGCTACCTACATCCGCACTTGTCCCACACCAACGCCCAGTGCCGCACTCAACGCGACCGTCAGAAGAAACAGGAGCCACAGCAGCCTCAGCAACAGCAGCATCAGCCACAGCAGCCTCAACAGCAGCATCCCCAGCAACAGCAACTTCATGGACCGCCGCAGCAGCAGCCGAGCTACAGCAGTGGGGGGGGCTGGGGCGGCGGGCCTCAGCACGGACCTCACAGCGGCTACGGAGGACAGCATCAGCACAGGTATGCAGCTCCCCCTCGTCCGCCACAGCCGCCGTGGCGGCCTCCGTACGGGCATGCAAATGTGACGCATGCGTATAGTGCTATGCCCTACGGGGGGCCCGCGTATGGTAGCGAGTATGGGGGGTGGGAGCAACAACAGCAGCACCAGCAGCAGCACCAGCAGCACCAGCCTTCGCCAGACTATTACCAGCAACAGCCGTACCACCCGCCTCCGACGTCGTACTACCAGCAGCAGCAGCCACCACCGCAGCCTCCGCGACCGCCGTCGTTTCAGCCGCAGCAGCAGCAGCAGCAGCAGCAACACTTCACCCATGCCCCGCCCCAGTCGCCTTCTCCCGGAGCAGCAGCTTTTCCGCCTGGGCATCTGCACTCCCTGATGGCACACTTTAGGTCCGCTGACGAGATGAGTTCGCTTTCGGTTTCGAATGATGTAGGCAGTGTCGCATGTGGTGATCTTGGTTTTGCTTTGTCTGCCCAGAGTTGCGATTACAGTCCTGGTAGGGAGGTATTTTGGTCGGATAGCGGTGCAAGCAACCATTTTGTGAGTAACAGCTCCAAAATGTACAACATCTCGCCTGTTCCCCCCGGCAAAGAATACATCAGAGTAGGCAATGGTGCTCATTTGCGCGTGGAGTGTGTCGGTAGTGTCAATCTGGCATTCCATATGGCAGGAGGCCGCTCGGGAGAAGTGGATTTTTGTGCCCAATTGACAGACGTGTACGTGGTGCCAGGAATTTCGTTCAACTTGTTCTCCCTGCACCAAACGCAGAAAAAGCACAGGATAGTGTTGGATGAGAGGGGTGTGCACCTTTTCGGCGGTCGGCTTAGTTTCGCATATTCGGATATCGGATGCTCTCTATCGGCCACCCGCTTGCCCCCCTCGTACCGCGACGGTGATGTAATCCCCTCTACCGTTGTCCCTCCCCCCGTTGTCCGCCAAGCGTCTCCGCCTGGCGTTGGCACTGGCTTTTTCGCCCAACACACCCCGCCCCCTTCTCAGATTTCAGGATCGGGTGCAGGGTACGGTCCGAGTTCAAGCTTCCCGTCCACCGGTCCCGCCGGTGTTGTACCTTCGACTACGAGCTTCCCGTCCATCGGTACTGCCGGTGTTGTACCTTCGACTTCGAGCATCCCGTCCATCAGTACTGCCGGTGTTGTACCTTCGGCTTCGAGCATCCCGTCCACCACTTCCGGTGTAGTACCTCAGAGTGATGTTTCCCCGTCTATCGATGTTGATGTAGTGCCTACGTCGATCCGAGATTTTCAGCCTGCCCTAGCCGCAGCCATCGCCTCATCCGACGTCCTGTCCCCCTCAGTCGTGAACCCGAATGTGTCGCGAGAGATAGAGATTTCGCCCCTTGAGTCCCAGGATAATTTGCCTTTGATGGAAATGAGTATGTTCTTGGATGTGGGCTTGATGAACGGACAAGACTCGGTCCCACCGGGTGACTTTTATCCCGACCCATTAGGCGTGTGTGAGTCCG